GAGAGAGAGAGAGAGAGAGAGAGAGAGAGAGAGAGAGATTAGGATAAAGATTATATTTACCACACATTAGTTTTGGTCTCATTTTACTATATGTGAGACTGTTTACACTGTCTGCTAGAGTTCTCACCCACTTCCCACCTCCCCAAAAGTTGATTTCCTAGGAACTTCTAGATTAACAATTTACAAGCATAGGAAAAATGAACAGCCCAAACCAACCCTAAGCATTTCATTAATGTAATGTAGACTGATTTTTTTGGGGGGGCTTTTTCAAAAGGACTTTATTCTTTAGTGTCATTGGAGGTTGACAATAAAACTGAAAAGAAGGAAGAGAGTTTTCCCATTTACCCAGTGCACTCTTGCATCCACAAGAAGGGCTTTTTGTTGTTAAAAAAAAAAAAATTGGAAATCACCATTTTTTAATATTCAATAAAATTTATCTATTGATTGAGCAACTGTATTGCAATATAATGTAGCAAACATTTTGAAAATGTGCTCTTGGGGCTGGCCTGAAAGCTCAGCAGACTAAAGAGCCTGCTTAGGCAAATGCAATGTCTGGGGTTTGATCTCTGGCTTGCCATGCCAGCCCCGCCCCTAGGGTGTGCTGAGACAGCCACTGAGACTGGGCTTGGTAGCGCACCTGTAATCCCAGCTCTTGAGGGGCTGAAAACAGGAGAATCATAAGAGTCCAATCTATGTAGTGAGACCCTGTAGACTCTGCCCTAAAAATATAGATGGTAAAAGAAAAAGAAAATGTATTCTTACTTCATACTTCGACAGAAGTTTGAATATCTAGTGCTTTAACTTTTGATAAATTATTCCACGCAGAATTTGTTCTAAAACATGTCCATGCCTTTGAGAAAAAGGTGAGAAAATAGTGTGTAATTGTCTGCATGACATTCCATGAAATATATTTTAACAGTAAGATTTCTGTCTAGAATGACCTTAAAACATACTGCTATGGTAGTTTAGTCCCTCTGATCTTAGAGCAAGAATGAGATGAGTACAGTCCCCCGGCGGGTTAGAAAGCCGAACTGATGCAGAATTGTAGCTCCAAGACATGGAGATGGACGACAATATATGTTTTTAGTTCAGCAACCAGGGGAAGTCAGAAAGCAGCCGAGTAGTGAAGTCTCGCACGCAGTGAGGGGAGGGATACAGGTGAAGGACTCCGCCGCAGACTTCCCAGCGAAGTGAGATTCATGTAATTGTTTTTTATGGCCAAAGCTTGATTGGGGCCTATTTTAA